TTCAAAAAGTTCATGGAAAGATTCATATTATCTTTTAATTCTATTTTTCATGAACTTTTTCAAATATATATGTTAAATAAAATGCAAGAAGCTAGAAAGAACAAAGACAAAAGGGACATATTTTCATCCTGAGAGTTAAGAGTTATGTCATCATGGAGAACATACCTGAAAAAGTTTTGAAATAGAAATAAACATTAGCCACATGAGAACTAAGTTTGGAAAGGGATTTCTAGATAAGGGGAGAAAATAAAGGTTTGGGGTGTTAAACAGTATGGTCTGTATAGGAACACCCTGACAGCAGATTGCTACTTAATAGACTTTAGAATATACATAAGAACAGATAAAAATGAAACTAGAGAACTTCCTCTGGTCAAGGCCAGAGGAAGATTTATTTTGTAGACACTCTAAAAGGTTTTAAAGAAGGAAGTAACATAGACAGAATTCACTGTAGACAGAAATCATTGCATCTAAAGTATACAGAATCTACTTAAGTGGGGACAGATGGGCATGACTGGAGGAGAGCACAAATTAGAAGATTGTGGCATTGGTCCAAGTCGAAACAATGCTCTGAAACATACATTCTATTATAGCTCATGGGAGCAAGTTTAAGAAAACAGTGACTGATTCTGAAGTTGAGTGAAAAGCGAAAACTAAGGTGGATGTTTGGGTCTCTGGCAATTAACTGAAACTCCGAATCTGAGAAAAGAAGCAAGTTTTGGAGAGGAGAGTAAATAATGATTTCAGTTTAGAACACGTTGAATTTGGGATTGCAGTCATACAGGTCCAGCAAGCAAATGGATAAGTGAGCTTAGAGAGATAAGAGCTGATGACAGAGATTTGAGGTACCTATAAAACATTGCCTACCTTCCAAGATCAAGTTTAGGATGAATTTAGACACTGTGTGCAAAGTGCCTAATGCTACAAAGCACTATAAGTAAAATTAAATGGATGGTGTATTTAGGTACCTCACTCAATAAATGTAATTTCTATTCCATCCTGCGCTAAATCATCAAACCAATCTCTGTATTATGATAGAGCGTAAAGTTGAAGCTACAGCTTAACCTAACAGGATCTCTCTGGGTTTTAAAGAAAGCTTAATGAGCTGACTGTCAATCTTCCAGTACTTCTTCTGTAATCACTAAACTATTAAGAAGTTGGCTTAATGGTCCAACCTTCCCCAACTATAACCAAACAGTTGTCTGCCCTCTCTCTCGTCTCTTTTGAGAAATGGTTTTTGGGAGAAAAAAATCCTTCAAAATCTGTTCTAATGTAATTTTTAAATTCACCAATATAGAAGTGAAATAATATAACTGAGAAAGCATTAATTCAATTTTCAATTTCAACTAAAGAATCCAAGCCCTAACAATGTTGAGGAAGAGAGAAAAGACGGAGGAAGAAGGGAGGAGTTTTAACTTTTCCTACTCTCATTCCAGTCTTTCCAAAACTTCTTCCCTAAGAAATTGGCCATCCACCAACATAGATCAGAATATCAGACATTGCTTTAAACCACTTTTAGGTGACTCTATACATCTAATCTTTAAAAGTGTCCCTTGTAAGCAATCAGAAAAAGTTTATATTTTGATACGAAGTTCTAACTATGGATATTTAAAAAAAAGAAAATAGTATCTCCAAGTTTTGACTTAAACTTAAATTCCTTTTTGCTATTTTGAAAACTTAAATTGGAACAGCTGGATACCACACATCTATCCTGCCATGGTACTAGAGAATTAAATTTATTAATTGGCACTGTCTAATTATAGAGATCATTAGTCCATAGACTGTTGGAGTTGTTGTGAGTTAATAATGAATCATGAGTGCTCCCAGAGATGTGAAAAAGTCTTGTCCTTCAAAGGGCAGGATGATTGAATTAATTCTTAATATCAAGTAGAATAATCTGAACTATACTTTATTTCCTTGTTGTCAAACTATGCTTGAAAATGAGGCAGTGTGTGCACTATGTTTGCTAGTCTGTGCGTGCATGTTTGCACTAGAAGAAAAGTCTTTCCTATGATAGATAAAAATCCCCAAATAAATACTGCTGGTTTTCTAGGTATAAAATATGATTTAATCCTAGTTTCAAACCATTAAGATCATGATGCTATAGTAAATAATGTTGAGCAAATTACCTATTAGAGCAATATTTTGTGAACTGTTGAATTTATGGACAATATGTTTTCAAAACACATCACACTTTAATTTTCCTAGTACTTACACAATGCCATAGAAAAAAAACCCTGTTTATGATCTCTTAGTTCTCTCAAGAAAAAAGAGGAAAGAAAAGTAATTTTTCTTATAATGAAATGGAAGACAAAGTGGGCTGTGAAAGGCCCTTTTCTGCACCGATGTGAAGGAAGTGCTAACTCAGAACTCAGTGGGCTATTTCCCTCTTGTGCTGCAACTGAAAATAAGTAACAGGAGAAGGAGGAATGAGTTTCCTTTACAGACGGAGGAATGTAATTTACACATTAAGAATTTATGGACTATAACGTCTGGGAAATTTCTGGAACTCAGGAAGTGGTGTTATATCCCTATGTGGAGTGTTTAAAGAAAAAGACAGTCAAATTCCCAAAGCCAGAAGAAAGCCCTTTAACACTTCTCAAAGCCACTCAAACTATGATCTTATAATGTTTTATCCACTAAGCACTGGGTCAATTCCAACCACAGTTTCACTCACCTAGGTCACCAGCAAGTTAGTGACTCAGAATCAGTCAAAATTTCTATGTTCTTTTTTCTTTTAGATTTTGATTCAAATAAAAACATTCTCCTTTTACCTTCCTCCAGTTTTGCACGAAGCATATCATACCTCTCCCAGCCTGTAACCAATATTGTCTTCTTAAGAACCAGGATTTGTGAAATATCTACAGCTCCATCTTGCCCAATGTTTAGTGTGTGGTGACAATATCCATTGAAGTCCCATATCTTTAAGAGAAAAATTAAAACCACCTTTGAGATAGGAAAAGAGAATGTCTTGCTCAATGAGTAAAACAGCATTTTGTAGTAGGATTATTTTAAAATTTTGTGTTTACATTCTGAACAAGGGTTGATTCACCTAGGATGTAATAATTAATGAAAGTCCTCTCACAATTTGAATTTAGCCATTATACTTATTACTATATTGTAAAATATATAATCGGTCTTCATCCCCCTTTCCTGGCACACAGCTCTTAAAACCCTTGGAAACTCTAGAGTGATGAGAGTGTCTTTTGCATGCTAATGAGATGACTGGTGGCTGGGAAGCTTAGGAAGCTTCAGGAAGCGGGCTAGTCACAGAAAAAAATGAAAGCATCGCTAGAGAGTTGGGACTTTCAGGCCCACACCCCATCTCTGGGGAGGGGAGAGGGGCTCCAAAATGAGTTGCTTACCAATGGCCAATGATATAATCAATGATGCTTACGTACTGAAGCCTCCATTAAAAATCCAAAAAGGACGGGGATCAGAGAGCATCTGGATAGCTGAACACCTGGAGGTTTCTGGAGGGGGAGAGTCTAGAGAAGTCATGGAAGCTGCACACCCTTTCCCATGTGCCTTGCTTTATGCATCTCACCCATTTGTGTATTCATCTGTATCTTTTGTAATATCCTTTAAAATAAATGGGTAAACGTAAGTAAAGTGTTTACCTGAGTTCTGTGAGCTGCTCTAGCAAATTAATCAAACCTAAGGAGGAGGTTATGGGAACCCTGATTTATAGCCAGGCAGCCAGAAACAAGGTCACAGCATGTGCTTGCACCTGGCATCTGAAGTGCAGGATAGTCTTGTGAGACTGAGCCCTCAACCTGTGGGATCTGACACTATCTCCAGGCAGATAGTGTTAGAATTGAATTGGAGAACACCCAGCTGGCCACTGAAGAACACACTGCAGATTTGGTTGTGTGTGTGGGAAAATCTTTACACACGTTTTGGTGATGAGAGGTGCATGTTATGTTGAGTGTGACAGTAGGAGAAACTGTGTGTATCCTACACATGCATATCAGCCTCTACTTGTAACTCTACCAGTCTATTCTAATAACAGTTGATTCAAAGGCTATAAATTAGTGTGTGTTTTTAAGGGAGAGATGATATCAAAACATTCCTGGAAAGATTTATATTATCTTTTAATTATATTTTTCCATGAACTTTTTGAAATACCCTCACATAAAATCAAGAGAGCCATATTTTGGGGTCTTGAAATCCTAGTTTTTTCTCTGAGTGTCTCTCTAAATTTCTGCCTCCTCGTTTGTGACACAGGAACCTTACTCCTCAAGAATGCTTAAAGGATTAAACATCTGATACAGAGCCTGAAACATGGTTGTCCTGTCGTAGGCTTCCCATCTTCTGCTGATAAAATCTCCTGTTGATGTTGGGTACCAGACCCAGTCCTACAGGGGGCACAAGCAGTTCTAGTTTACTTACTCAGTGGGGTGAGGACTTAGGCCAATGGGTGTGCTTTGAGAGAGAGGATCATTAGATCACTAATGGTTAAAACTAAGGCCTACTAGAAAACATTGGTGGCACATCATGGTCAAAGGGCAGGTTGACACTATCTATCAAAATTAAAATGTATATATCTTTTGACTCAAAAATGTAACTTTTCAAAAATCATCTCACAGATACATGCATATGTAAGAAAAGACATATTTTCGAGCATATATTTTTCAGCACTGTTTACAAAAGCTAAAGATTCGAACCAACCTAATTGCTCATTAGTAAAAGACTGAACAATCAGAATATGGAATATCTATGTGGTAGCATATAAGGTAGCCATTAAAAAGTATGAGTCTGGGCCGGCCCAGTGGCGCACTGGAGAGTGTGCCGCTTGGGAGCGTAGCAACGCTCCCGCCGAGGGTTCGGATCCCATGTGGAGACCGGTTCCCGCTCACTGGCTGAGCGTGGTGCGGGCGCAACACCGAGGGTTGCGATCCCGTTGCCGGTCCCTGGTACGGGCGCGACACCGAGGGTTGCGATCCCATTACCAGTCAGTAAAAAAGAGACAAAAAGGAAAAAAAAAAGTATGAGTCATCTCCATGTTTCTAGACTCTGCTAAAACTCAACCAACTATTGGAAGCATGAGCAAGTGGTTTTATCTCTTTGGGCTTCCTCATATGCAAAATTGGGATTATAATAGAACCAACCATACAGCTGTGTGTGTGTGTGTGTGTGTGTGTGTGCATGTGTAAAGTGCTTATAACAGTGCCTGTTTCCAATAGTAAGCATGCAATAAAAATTAGCTAACATTATTATTACTGTATTTATTCATATGAATCAAAAATATCAAAGTAAGAAGAATGCAAAATGCAGAGCAGCACATCCAGTGGGCTCCCATCAAAAAACGATTGGTGCTCATAGTCTAGAAGGATGCACAAGAAACCAGTAACAGCGGTAGCCGTGGGAGAAGCTGGGAACAGGGATGCGAAAGAAACTTTCTTCAAACTGTATATCTCTTTAATATTTCAAAATTTTTATTGTATGCACGTATTATTTAAAATATTCATACATTTAAAAACAAACCCTTCAAAATCATGATAAATAGGGCAATAATTTTAAGTCTTTGATTACATAGGTACTGATTTTGGATTCTAAATTATAAATGATATTGGAAAATGTCATTCATTCTGTTTCTTCAAAGAATATGGCCAAAGCCGCTCAACTCTTATTTATGTGTTCTATGCAGAGGTTGCTAGATCTCAGAATTCTGTTGTGCTACTACAATAAAGATAAATGTACCTTCAAAAGCAGTGATTATACTACTAAATCCATATTAACTTCTAAGATACCAAGGCTCAAGTTGAGACATGAGGGGCGCACGTGCACTTTGCCCATGTCACTTTGTTTATGTCTAAACATGGCTCTTATCTAGTACACCTAAAATAATTTTCACAAATAGGTTTTGCAAAATCTGACTGTCCCTAGATCCTAGTAAGTCCCTCAGCTGGGACCATTTTAGCAACATCTACCAGTTTTGCCTTACCCTAGACTCTATAACCAGTTACTTCCCAAGATAAGGGTATATGGAACTAATCCACTTGCCTCATTGTTCAGTTGAGTGGCACATCCCAGGGCTGGTAAGTGAGATACTAGCTTGCTCCTTTTGCCTAAGCTATTGCCTAATACTCCAGTTCCACTTCTTCTTTTATCTAACCTCAACTATTGGGACTGGGGTTTTCCTAGTACCTTCACATATCTTACCAGCTCTCCCATGAAATAGTTTACTTAAATCCAAGTTCCCAATCCATATCTCATTCCATTATCCATCCCAGAAGACAAGTTCTGCCAATTTCCAGAGATACTCACTTCAACCCACCACAGAACTTCCTTTGCACTGATGGTTGCCTGCCTGGAAACCCCCTGAATACTTGTCACCAAGTCCCAGGATGTCCTAACTACCTATCCAGGTAGCTTCTTGTTACCCCACCACTGCAGCATAGCTGAATGCATCATACAGCCCACCATGGAAGGTAGTTTACTACCTTTCTGACCCTAGTTACAATGGGTTTGAGAACCATTCAAAGTTTATTCAAGAAACTGCCTTCCTTTGCCTCAAAGTGTCATAAGCCATCTCCAATCAAAGACTGTCATTACTCTCAAGGCTGAGGGGAGCAGAGCAGAGTCATTGGTGGACATGATATCAGAAAGCAAGCACCTAGCTTTGCATGAAAATGTGATCATTTTGCAAAGTAAAATACTACCTTCCTCCCAGAAGAAATGAATAATAGTTACAAAATAAGAAAACTAGAAGCATAAAATACTGTTCGTTTAGGATGGATAATAGATAAGATTATGATTGTTCTTTCTACTATTCTTCTCCTTACTTTCACATAACAAAAATGCCAATTACAAAATGTTTACTTCTAAATATTCATTTTCTGAAAAATTTGCATGTATGTCATTTTAAAAGGTTAATTTAAGTTGCCCTGATTTCTTATTTTATAAACATAGAAAAAGAAAACTAGAGACATTAGCCGAGGCACATCAAAATTATTCAAGCCTCTTATTCCCCAAAGTAGTTCACTATCCAGTACACTAAAAAAGGCTTTCTGAAATAAGTAAGCCAAGTTGTGTTTTTATTCTAAATAATTTATTCAGAAAAATTATTTATTCATTTCTCCATAGGGGTTTATTTTTCTAGAATCTTTGTTATTAGATAATTTGAGTTATTTAGCTCTTATCTTGTCTCATCTCTCTTCTTGCTTGCAAGACTAAAAAGGCAAAAACAATTTTATCTATAGCTGTGTCTCTTCATGCAATATTGTAGCCCCTCATATCTGGATAAAAAAACATTATTGTGTTCGCACCTTTACAGTTCCATCTGTGCTGCCAGTCAAAAGCCGTGTCTCATTTACATCAAGGGCCATAGTGCTGATTTCTGCATTGCCATGGCAACCAGTAAACTGTTTGATTTTCTGCCCAGTGTCTATCAGCCAGAAGGAAACAGTAGACCCCACATCAGAGCTGATAACCTGAGAGAAAATGACATTGTAGGAAAATTAAATATAGTCCCCAAATCAACTGTTTTATTTCAATAAATAGATCTAGCCTGTGCATTTGCACTATCAATATTCCCCAACAGCTGGAGATATTTTTGTAATTTTTTTTTTTTGTTAAGCTGATCACATTTCAATTTGTAGGCCAGACCAGAGGTAATGAAGTCATGATCCTCTTTATGAGAGAAGATGGGAATCTGCTTCCTTTACCCACCATTCAACTGAGTGTCTAGAGGACATCCTGAAATCTAATCCTTCTGAAAATAAACTTAAAAATTTTTCACATCTAGATAAGAAAGATGATTTTCCTAGTCATGGTGCTCTGACACTATTTACTATATGGAAAGAAACATTTTATCACATAGCAGCTTCAAATTAGCATTCAGAGAAGAAGTACTACCAGCCATTATGGGAAAAAGTTAATTTCAAAAAAATTACTAGAGCTATTGTGTTTTTTATGCCATTAGTCCCTTGCTTTCTTTTTTCTCAAGGTACTGTGTATATTTTTACAACTAAACACAATTATTGATCAGTCTCTAAAAACAAAGAACACAAGTTAAATATAAATCTGCATATAAACTTCAAGAGGAAGGCAACAAAACAAATGCCAGAAGGGATAGGATTATATATAGCAGTCCAAAAATGAGAAGTTTTAAAGTGGCAAGTAGACAGCTAATTTAAGCTCTAGATACTTTGGTGCCCTTTAAAACCATCGGGATAAAGAAAGAAAAAATAATAAGCACATAAATGTATAGATAGGAAGTTGTCTGAAGCAATATCTAGATTTTGAGAAAACTTAAAGTACTTATTTTTCTGCTTGGATACTGATTACCATTGCATAAATGTAAATTTATCAAGAATATGTTAAATTTGAATGCTTTATTTTCATAATCAATTGGGTAGATGTTTATCAAATGCATATTTAGAAGGACTGGAGAGCTGGCTGTCATGAATGTATGCATTCATTCATTCATTCTACGGACACTTAGAGAACACCCACTCTGTGCCAAGCTCCATGATGGCAGTGGCACTTCACTGATGAATTCCTGTTCGGAGGCTCTATAGTCTATACCTCTACATTAAAACCATGTGGGAAACTTAAAGAAAACACTGCATACCAAACCAGAGACTAATTTAACTGGACCAAGCAAGGGTATTTTTTAAGAGAGCTCCACAGTTTATTTAAATGTGTACCCTGAGCTAAGAACTACTGTTCTAGATGGAGAAATAGAGAAGTAACAGATTAATGCCAAACAATGCTACAAGTTTAGAGGTAACACCCTTGGGTGTTGTGGGAGTACAAAGAGGAAAACCCAAAACCCACTAACTGGGATCGGGTTGAGGGTTGGGGAGTGTAAGAGAGAAAGGGCAAATCAGGATTCACAGAGAAGGTTATAACCAATCTGGAATTGAAGATAGAAATGTGTATTTATTACGTGCTAAGCCCTTCACACTCATTATCTCATTTCATCTTTACAAAAACTCTGAAAAATAATGTTACGAGCATTGTTTTACCAATGATGAAATTGAGATTCTACTCAGCAAAGTAATGATCCCAAGCTTATATAACTAGGTTTGAATCCTGGGCTGTCTACGACAGGCATATCACAATGTCCTCCTCTATTCCAGCTTGGTATTTCAAATAATTAAGGGTTCTCTCAAAAGAGAAGGGGACTTAAAGGACATTTGAAGCAAGAGAAACAATAAGAAATTTAATGGAGCTCTAGAAGAAAGTATCTGAAGGGACATATATTGTGGGATATCAGACAAGGAAGCAAACTAGAGATGGAATTTTAGCAATCCCTAGTAAGCAATTCCAGAGGACAATAAGCAATGTATAAAGTTAATTTTACTGGAAGAGGGTCCATAGCTTTCATTGATTATCATTGAGGTCTGTGATTAACCTAAAATATTAAAAACAATGTCACTGTTCTTAATAAGGAGAAGAGTGATGTAGTGTAGTGGTTTTCGTTGGTTGGTTTGTGAAGATACCTGTAGAAACAGTGTGGAGAACAAACTAGGATTTCGGAAAGACAATTTGCAGGCTGCTATAATAGTCCAGGTAAGAGATTCTCATCTAACATTGCAGTTCTGGAGGTAGAAAGGAGAGGAGAGACTGAAAAAAAGGGACATCATTTAGCAACATTTAGGTCTCAGCAAAGAACTGATCATGAGCATGTAAACTTCTTTTAGCCCCTTTTTTTCCCCCTGAAATTACAACTCTGATGAGATATGTTTTTAATTATGTAAAACTGTACTTATGCTACACATTTTCTCTCAATGAAATCAAAAGCACCTTAAATATTTAACTACCATTGTTAAACCAAGGTGTAATTTTTAGGACAAATGACTTGCATCTTTGAAATTATGTAACCTAACATTTTAACTATCATTCCATATGGCTGACTGTTGCTATTTGATTTTGTTTGTGCAATATATACAGTGATTAAGAGCATTGAGTCTGCAGCCTTAGACATTAAGGTCAAGCACATTACTGAGCCTCTCTAAGCCTCCATTTCTTTATCTGTAAACCATAGATAATCATAGTACCTTTCTCAAACCACCATTACACAGTTTAAGTAAGCTAATGTTTGCAGAGCACTTACCCCAGTGTGTAGCATAGCCATAAAAAAAGCCATAAAAGTTAGCTAGTGTTACTATTATTCTACATAAGCTTTGTTTGCCTGCCCTCTCCTCTAGGTTCTTATCACTTTGCATATCCAAATCAATTTAAGAAAAATAATATTGTGCTTTCTTACAAGCATGAAAGTAAATAAATAGAGACAATTACAATTTTAGAAATCAGGTTTCAGGTGTACATTGAAATTTCAAATTATATCATATTTGCTTATTTCTCACAAAATTCCTTAAGAAATTCCATTATATTAATTAAAGACAAAGCCATAAAAACATATAAGTTTCTAAGCATGTGTGAAAAGTTTGATAGTGGTCTATTTTAAAAAGGTTAAATGTTGTGAAGGACTTCATTTTTTCTATTTAAAATGCATATATCCAGCCACTATTATGTGCTGAACATTTCAGTACTAGAAGATGGGCTTTCCCTAATAAAAATTTTAAAAAAGCAAAATAAAATAAAATAAGGCCATGTTGAAATAAAAGAGTTCCTTACTTGTTCAAAGGCTGGCATCACCCACAGTACAAAGCATCTAACCATCCACCCCACCACTTTTGTCTAATACAGACATTCAATCAGGAATTAGTAAGGGGAGCTTTTTGCTGTGTTGCCCTCTTTCTTCCCTGCCCACCTGGCTGAGCCCTAACACACTATTCATCAGTTTTCATCACTGTCCTCTGCTCATTTAGCAATTTCTCATGAAATCTGAATTAATAGTGACAATAGAGTATATCCAGTCTGACATCGTTTGGTGCAGTCTTCAGGAAAACCATGTGTTGCAACTGACTATGCCACAAAGAGACACCCAGTATCAAGTAGAATCTACTGTCCCGATCACAATATTGGAATACAAAAATAACAACGCAGGTGAAAAGACTTCCAAGTTTAGTGAGAGGGAAATGCATTTAATGTCGCTTGGCTGATGAAAGAAGTGGTTTGACTAACAGCACAGCGGGGATCTTATTTTCAGCAGGCTGTTTTTGTCAGTAATAAAGCACAGGAATAAATATTGGCATCACATTTATATGCTGCATTTTGATTAGAGCAAATCCCTTTAAGTGTGCAGTTCATTCCTGGTTGTCTCTCTTATCACACTAGACCTGAGCCGGGCTGAGGACGGGCCCTGACAGTCTGCAGAGCAGAAACGGCACTCGATTAATTACACTCCGGTGCAGAAGACCCTCGTGAGCAGATCGTTGTTGGGGCGGGAACTCGCTCCATTTTATGTACCTGAGTTAATAACTGTTTAGGAATATAAATATCCTTTTTGTCTCGCTCCTCTGAAGCTGTCACAGCTAATCAGACAATTCTAAGAGATGTGAGGCTGTATCCATGTCACCTAATTGTCTTTTTGCTATTCCAACAACAGCAGGCATTTTAGGTGTCTTTTATATGCGTCTCAAGTCCTAAGTCTAAGCAAGAATGGGAATAAAAAATGACAGCAGCGGATGTCGTTGGCTACCTGGGGATCGAGATATTTGCTTTAATTGCTGCTTATAATTTTATTGTTTTGAGTTGGTGCTGTTTATGGTCCCATAATGTAAAGTAGGTTACTTCCTTTATTTCCATTTTGTATCAAATCCTTAGAAGTTACATCTCAGTAAGTGGAAAGGTGAGGAAAATGCTAATATCTGAGAACAAGTAGAGGCAAAGAATTGAAATATTTGAAGGCAGCCACTCGCCATTTATAAATTTTTTTTATTAGATTTCATTTCTTCTTAGATTAATTTGTAATTTACTCTTTTAAATTCATTTCTTGAACTTATTAAACAGCTAAAATATGCAAAGCACTCGATTTAGGCACTGGGGATACAGCCGTAGAAAATTCCTGCTCTAACATTTTGTGAGGGAGACAGGGAGAGACGCAACCAGATAAGAAAAATATATATATGTACATTATATACACGAGTATAAATATATATAATGTTTGGTGGTAATAAGAGCTATAGAGAAAAATATAGCTGAGGAAGCAGAAAATATTGGGGGGCTCTAGAAAGATCTCACTGAGGGATCATTTGAGGAAAGATGTGACTGAGATGCAGGAGTGAGCCACACAGACAACTACATGGAAAGGTTTCCAGGCAAAAGAAACAGCAAGGCAGAAAACCTGAGGCAGAGTGTCCTTAACATGTTGGAGGAGAGGCAAAGAGCCTAGCAAGGCTCAGACAGTGTGGGGGGTGGGGGAGACACAGCTGTGACTGCCTGTGGTCAGGGTGCACCATTCAGAACACTCCAGAAAGTACCAGGCCCCCACAAGAACAAGGGGGCAAAAGAGAAAAATATAAATCCCCACCTTCTGGCTAATATGCATTTACCTTTTACCCCTGCTTTGTTCTGTGTA